CAAGCATTTTCAGAAAAGTGTTGGTAGTTTCTTATAAAATTACACATGCCATATGATCCATATATTACACTCCTGTATTTATCCTAGAGAGGTATTTATTTCAGAAGCAAATGTTCACAGAAAAGCTTGTACATGAATGTTTACAGAATCTTAATTAATAAGAACCCCAAACTGGAAACAACCCAAATGTCCATCAAAAGGTGAATGGATTAACAAATTGTGGTATATTCATACAATGGAATACTGATCAGCAATAACAAGTAACAAACTTCTGATATGTGTAACACGTATGAACCTGAAAAACATGATGCTGAACAAAAAAAGCCAGACATAAAAAAGTACATATTGCCTTATTCTACTTATATGAAATTCTAAAACAAGAAAGTACTAATCTTTATTAGCAGATTCAAAGCAGATCTGTGGTTGCAAGGGGCCAGAGCAGTAGAGACACTGACAGCAAAGGGGCATGCAATACATTTTTGAGGTGATGAAAATTTTCTATGTGTTAATTATAATGATAATTGCACAAGTGTATACATTTTCAAAACTCATCAAACTGTAACTTAAAATGGATTCATCCTACTATATGTAAATTATACCTCAAAAAACTTTATTACATTTTTTATAAAATAAAATGAAAGCAGTAAGAACAGAGAATCATCATCACCAAATCTGTACAAGAAATGCTACAGAAAGTTCTTCAGACTAAAGAAAATAACACCAAATAATCTACAGGAATGAAGACAACCAGAATGATAAATATGTGGGTGTGTTAGGCAGAGTAATGGCCCATCAAAGATGTCCATGGCCTAAACTCCAGGATCTATGACTATGAAAGGTTACATGGCAAAGGAGAATTAGAGTTGCAAATGGAATTAAGGTTGCTAATTGGCTGACTTTGAGATGGAGAGATTATTCTGGATTATGTGGCTTAATATAATCACTAGTATACTTATAAGTGAAAAAAGGAGGCAAAAGAGTCAGTGTCAGAGGGTAGATGGCTTCTAGAAGCTGGAAAAGGCAAGGATTCTCCCCTAGAGCCTCCTGAAAACAATGCAAACCTGCAGGCACCTTGATTGTAGCCTATTGAGACCCATTTCAGACCTCTGACCTTCAAAACTTTTTGGTAATAAGTTTGTGTTGTTTTATACCACTAAGTTTAGTGATCTGTTACAGCAGTCACAGGAAACTAAATCTGGGTTATTATGAAAGTCTAGCTTAAAAATTTTTTTTCTCCTCTTAATTCCTTTAAAATGCATATGACATGTTAAACCAAACACTATAAACTGTATTTTAGGGTTTATAACATATGTAGGTGTAATACATTTGACAACAATAGCTTAAAGGACTGGGCCAGAGAAAGAAAATGGAACTATATTGTTGCAAGATTCCTATATTTTATGTGAAATAGCACAATACTTGTTCTATTATCATTGAGGGAGGGGTGTTAAAATCTTCACCCACAATTATGGACTCAGCTTTCTTCCCTTTAGTTCTGCCAGTTTTTTCTTCATGTAATTTAAAAGCTCTTTTTTAGGTACATACACATTTTAGATTTTTAAGTCTTCATCTATTGATCATTTTATCCTTATAAAATATCCCTCTTTTCCTCTGCTGATACTCCTTGTCTTTAAGTTTATTTTGCCTGATGTTAATTTCCAACATTCTTTGGATCAGTGTTTGCATGCTATATTTTCCCCAACTTTTTACTTATTTTTGTCTTTGTATTTAAGTACATCTCTTGTAGACAGCAATAGTTGGATCTTAGTTTTTGATTCAGACTTGACAGTCTCTGTGTTTTAATTGCAGTGTTTAGTCCACTTACATTTAATGTATTATAAGTTTGGACTTAAGACTGCCATTTGCTATTTGTTTTCTATTTGTCTTATCTGTTGATAGAACAAAGAGACAAAAATTCACCAAGGATATAGAAGACTTGACCAATACTACCAGCCACTTTGACCTAATTGACATTTATAGAACACTATACCCAACAATTGCAGAATGTACGTCCTTTTCAAGGGGCCATGGAATATTCACCTGGATCGGCCATCTTCTGGGCCATAAAACAAGTCTCAATAAATTTTTGAAAATTGAGATTGTACAGAGTATATTCTCTGGGATTAATTTAGAAATCAATAAAATAAGCTTTCTTATAGAAAATCCCAAATATTTGGTAGTTAAACAATAGACTTCTAATTAACTTATGGGCCAAAGAAGAAATAGCAAAGGAAATCATAAAACATTTTTAACTGACTAGTAATAAAATACAACATATAAAAATGTGTTAGACATAGGCAAAGCAGTGCTTAGAGAGAAATGTACAGCTTATATTATTAAAAGATAGAGGCTTAAAATCAATGATCTGACTTTCTACCTAAGAAGCTAGAGAAAGATGAGCAAATTAAACCCAAAGTAGAAGGAAAAAATAGTAAAGATTAGAGTAAAATTCGATGAAATAGAAAACAAACAATAGGGAAAATTAATAAGGCCAAAAGTTGGTTTTTTTGAAAAGATTAATAAAATGGATAAACTTCTAGTAAGAGTCTACTAATCAAGAATAAAATGGAGCAGCACAAATTATATATATCAGGAATGAAAGAGAAGATATCACTACAGATCCTATAGACATCAAAGGATAAAAGTGAGATATTTGAGAAGATGATGGTAATGATGGCAGCGTAGTTTTTCAGTCTCTTCAGAGCCACACGTAAAAGCTGACATAGCAACTGAAGAGTAAAATTTTAATAAACATGGACAACACAACAAAATTTGGTGACAAGGTATCTCTACAACTCCCAAAATACAAGCAAGTGGGAACAAACCGCCAACAGCCATCAGACCTGCATGGGATCAGCATCTGTGCCAGAGAAAGAAGGAACCAAAGGGATGGCATCTGAGTAAGAACAGGAGAACCCCAAGAGTCCATAGAGAATCAAAAGAGGCCAGCTGAGAACAGTAAATGAAACTTAGGATCTGCAGTCTAAAAGAGCAAGTGAGTGCAAGAGGCCCACAGTGAGGACCGAGGGGCCAGAGCAGGTCTGGCTCCTATGAACTGACAAAACCAACCCACCAGGGCTTCCTTCTAGTAAGCCTTGAGGAGACTTGCTGGGATGGAATTCAAATACAGTAGGATAGGTATCCATTGACAGATGACTGGATAAGGAAGTTGTGGTGTATTTATACAATGGAATACTACTCAGTGATAAAAAAGAATAAAATAATACCATTTGCAGCAACATGGATGGACCTGCAGATTGTCATTCTGGGTGAAGTAAACCAGAAAGAGAAAGAAAAATACCATATAACATCACTCATATGTGGAATCTAAAAAAGAAAAAAGAGGACACTAATGAACTCATCTATAAAACAGAAACAGAAAGATAATAAACAATCTTACGGTTATCAGGGGAAAGGGGATGGGAAGGGATAAATTTGGGAGTTTGAAATTTGCAAATGATAACCACTATATATAAAAATAGATAAAAAATAAATTTCTTCTATATAGCACAGGGAACTATATTCAATATCTTATAATACCCTTTAATGAAAAAGAGTATGAAAATGAATATGTGTATATATATGCATGACTGGGATATTATGCTGTACACCAGAAACTGACATACTGTAACTGACTATACCGCAATTAAAAAAATATGTATATATGTAGTAGGATAGGGACAACAGAGAGGAAGTAAGAGAAGATGGGTACCAACTGAGAGGAAGGGGACAGAGCCAGGAAGTCCCAGGAAGCAAGCCAGACAGAATAACAGAAGAGGGAGTTCTATGATGTTATAAAAACTTTTCTGAACCCTGACTCATTCTTTAAGTTCAAGACAACTAATTTTACAGAAAACGAGCAATAGGAAAGTATCAAGGTCAAATCCCATATAGTTACTGTAAGAACTATAAGAATAACAGTACTATGGACAGTGAAAGCCCAGGACATAGATGTGCCACCTACAAAATTGCAACCTACTCTTTGAAAACAAACTAAAATACTAAGCCAATAACATGTGAAAGAACAATGTAAATATGGTTTATTCCTGTCTAGGGCAAGAAGTGTACAAGATGACCCAAGAATATTTTGTCAAACCAGACAATAAGGAAAGCTATCAAAGATTACCAGAGTCATGTCAAAAGAACTAAGGCGCCAACTTGATGAGACTCCACTGGCCAAAGCTGAGACACCTGGCACTTCAATACTGACAACAATTCTAATTGATTGAAACCCATCAAGTATATATAAATGTATAAGTTCATAATAATATTTTTAAAGTGGCCAACTTTGGAGGATGATAGGGATTCATTATCTTCCAAACTGGTGAAAAAAAGAATCAAGCATTTGTTCTACCTTCCCTATGTGAACCACACACTCAGAGACCAAATAGTAGATAACAGGATGTTTCTCTTTTCGAAAGTATTTCAACAAATAAATACAATAAAATTATAGAATTAATGGCACCGTTTTGCAATCCTCAATGAATTAATGGCTACAGGCAATAAATATCAACACCTGAAAAAAAGTCATAAGCACAGAGACTGGATTTATATGCCTCTTACAGTCTTGCCAAAGTGCTTAAATCTGTCTCTTCAGTCTCTGGATCCAGCTACCAATTTTCAGGAAATACTGAGGACACATTTAGAACTACATTATGAGCATGTAATTAGCAAAATCCAGACTGTGGTAAATTCTACAAGTCAAATGGCCCAGGCTATCCTACAAATAAATTGTAAGGAATTAAGAAAGGGATGAAGACTATCAAATGTCTTCAAATGGACAAGACTATAGGATCTATGGATGTACATTTAAATGATAAAACTATAAAAAAGTTATAAAGAAGTAAGTACTATAGTCAAGAAAAGGTTGCTTATAGGAAGAGGAAGGAGATTATAATTGGGAAAGGGGCACAAGGACAGGACTTCTGGATGAGTTCGAGTTCTTGACATGACAGTGGCTATAGGAGTGTTTGCCTTAAAATAATTCATTAAGCCTTATATTTGTGTGTTTTCTACACTTGTGCTTTATTTTACAATGAATAGAGTTTTTAAAAGAAACACAAGGCAGTGTTATAAACAACTTCATGCCAATCAATTCAACAGCTTAGTTGAAACAAATTCTTTGAAAAACACAACTTACCAAAACTAACTCAAAATGAAATTAGAGGTCAGAATAGCTCTATATGTATCAAAGAAATTGAATTTGTTATCAAAAACCTCCTCCATAAAGAAAACTCGAGGCCCATATTATTTTACTAATGAATTCTATTAAATACTGAGTAATACTATCAATCTTACACGAATGTTTTCAGAAAGCACAGGAGGAGGAAACACTTCCTGACTTCTTTCAGGAGGCCAGCATAACTGATACTGAAACTCAAAATTTATCAGAAACTTGAACAGCTATATTTTATATATTGAGGAATTATTAACTTTAAGGTGCAATAATGGCAATAAAAGTCCTTATCTTTTAGAGATACATACTAAAACATTTACAAATGAAACAGAATCATATCTAGTTTTACTTCAAAATAGTCTTGGTTAGGGAGAAAGTAGTCAAGGGAATAAATAAACCAAGATTGGCCACGAGTTAATAACTAACAAAGCGGGGTGGTGGGTGCATGGAAATTCATTATACTATTTTTTCTACTTTTGTTTATGCTTGAGATTTTATATAACACAAAACAAAAAAACCCCTACAAATTATTAAAAGACATTAAATATATAAAACAAAAGTTCACAGCATGATTTAAAGAGAGATCGAAACCAAACAAAATCATTGAACACCAAGTTGCTAGGACATCAACTTACTACTTTGAAAGGGACAAATAAGGAACAGATGTCAGCATCTATCTTGCCATTCTGGTATGAACTTTATGTCAAGGTAACCAAGTGGTCCTAGAGGATGTGACAAAGTTTTTCTGTATAGAATCAGAAGTAATAAAAGAAAAAAAAATAATAGCATTAGAAAACCATCATTTTGTAATTGCTAATGAAATAACCAATTCATAAAATGGTCATTAATGGATGGGAAAAAAATTTGGTGAAAAGTTGACGGGGAACTTTGTGATGCAGGATCAGGCTATCACCACCTGAAAATGGAAGGATCCTGGGACAGGAAATGGGCAGTGGAGAGCCATCCAACCAGGAATACCTGTGCTCCTGTGTAAGTGACAAATCTTTACTGTGTTAAATCACTGTAATATGGGGCAATTCATTATAGAAGTTAGCTTATTATAAAAGTATACCATTTATATGTATTAAAACACATAAATACATAATTATTTATATTTTCAAAGATACATACATATCCAAACACATACTGAACACATTAAAGTGTATGCCTGGCTCAGGGAGAGGAATAAGAATAGGGATCAGGGATTAAAAGAAAATAAAACAAAAAAGGGGCCTAGAATCAACTGATGATAAGAGTTCACCACGCTCTGAGGAGTATGGTTTAATTATTAAGGAATAAAAAATAATAATAATTTAAAAGAGAGACAACTAATCTACCCTTTCTAGAGAGAGCCCAAGCTACTTAGCTGGTAATTATCTTCTGCTTTGAGGAACACAAAATGGTAGCGATGATGCAGGAGGCACTTGCCAGTCTCCAGACATGGGGACTGGACCTGGCTATCACCCCTTGGCACCACCTCTCACTCCAGCCTGAAGGATGCTGGACAAAGTATAGAGGCTCATTCTGGGCCCAGGTGCCTCCTCCTGCACACCCTCTGTCTCTGCTTATGGAAGGCTGAATAATGGCCCTTCCCCCAAAGATGTTCATGTCCTAATCCCCAGAACCTGTGAATATTTTACTTTATATGGCAAAAGGGAGTTGGAAGATATGGTTAAACTAAGGATCTGGAGGTGGGGAGATGATCCTGGATTATCCCAGTGGGCCCAGTGTAAGCACAAGGATATGTAATCATAATGTAATCCCCATAAGAGGAGACAGGAGAATTAGAGAAAGATGTAAGGATGGAAGCAGAGGTCAGAGAGGAGAGATGCTACGCTGCTGGCTTTGAAGATGGAGGAAGGGGCCATGAACCAAGGAATACAAGCAGCCTCTGGAAGCTAGAAAAGGCAAAGAAATGGATTACCCCCTAGAGTCTCCAGAGGAGGTCTACCAACACCATAGTTTGTCACAGCAGCAATGGGAACTTGTACACTGGCACTGCTGCTGGACAGCACAACCTGTTCTTCTAGGAGAGTAAGGTCTATCGGACAGGGGGTGGAAGCCCCTGCCGTCATACTGACTTTGGTTCATTCTATAGTTTCTTTATTACCTATCTGACCTTGAGCAAATGTCTAAAGAACAATACATTGTTAATAATGCATTGTTTATAGGTTTGCTAAGAATTAGAGTATTTTTAATTACCTATTCGTACCTAAGTAACTACTTTTCAAATTATAAGTCACATCTCCTTGTGGGTTTACATACATTCATTCCTCCATTCATTCAGCAGGTGTCACTGAACACCCAGTACATGCCTGGCATCATGCACACAATGAGCCCATGTCCACTGCAAGCTCCAAACATTTCTCACCTAAGCTGCCACTAAGCTTCCAGTTTCAGTCCTGTGCTCAACCTCACTGCCCCATCCTAAATGCAGGTCCTTACACTTGCCCATTCACATGGTCTCATGTCTCCCTGATGGATTCATCCCAGTCAGCATCACCCCTTATCCTCCCAGGTGCTATTCCTACAGCTGCCAAGAGGAGTCTCATCTCTGCCTTTACCCTGAGCCCTGACTAAAGTCCCCAGCCCACGTGGAGGGCAGTATGCTCCCTCTGATTATATTTTCAAACTTCATTTTCACTTCATTCTCTTTTGTCTCTCTGCATCTCTCTCCCTTTTCATGGCATCTCCTTCTTTGAGTACCCAAACAGGTCCTCATCCTGACCCAGAAAAGTCTAAACTAACAGAGAGCTAAGCCTTAAGCAGCCAGTCCAGAGGCAGGTAGGGTGGACCAAGGAGTGTGTTTATTGGGGTTCCTGGGCTTCTCTGGTAGTGAAATGGAGTCTAAGGTATTGGGACAGGATGCCCAGACCTACCTGGAGTTCCCAGGCAGCCCCACTCACCCACCTCTCCAGCGTCTCAACACCCTCAGATGCCTATCCAATTGAGGTGTAATCCTTTGACCCCGAAGCTCCCCAACTCTACAGGACCCATCTGGATTTCCTCATCTCTCATCTCCCACCCCCACCCCCTCTTCGAACCTCCAAGTCTGGAATGCTAAGTTCTGCCCTTATGAGGCCTGGGCCTCCTTGCCCTCCCTTCCCAGAAAAAGTTGGTGTAGGGTTGATTTTCCTTACATCTGCAGTTCAGATTAACGCATACTTTATCCAATCCTAGTGCAAGGTTCTCTTTCCTCAGAGCCTGTAGCTCTTTTTCTAAACACTGAGCTGCCTCTCTAGGGTGGGGTAAGATCATGATTATTAAAACAGGGGGAAAATTGCTTTTAGACCCTTTGGGCTTGGGTGGTGTCGACAGGGTGCAGAGGGGGAACAGTCTGGCCAAGTGTTGGAACTATGGGCAGGGAGGCAGGCAGGAGATCTGGGTTCTTTAACTTGAACACTGTCACGGATTTACCATGGGTGACACTGAGCAAGTCTCTGCCTTCTCTAGGCCTGTCGCTTTAGCCTGTCTGTGCACTGAGGCAGCCGGTCTTCTGTTACGCTATATTTGAGCCTGAACGTTTCACCCAGCTACACTGGCAATGTTGCATAATGGCCACAAGAGGGCGGACAACCACTTCAACTCAGAAATTTGTGGATTAAATGAACAAGCAAGCTTCAAAAAAGTGGAAAGGCAGTTATCCTAAGGGCATTACAAAATGGCAACAGAGTCAGGATAGGGAAAGCTCTAAGACCAGGAGGGGTAAGTAGAGGGCTGGTAGACAGCAGAGGCGAAGAGACTAAGAATATTAGAGTCTTTAGAGATTTCAATTACTTTGAGGGGACAGGAGAAGAGGAGGTCTTTAGAGGAAAGCAACGGACTGAATGTATTGCCCCAAAAGGACTGGGGTGAGAGGTTGCAGAACAAGACTTGAGGAATTTAGGGGAAGTAGAGATGACCAACTTGGCTCTTCCCTTCCCAGCATAGAGTAAAAAGTGCAGAAACTGCAGGAATTATTCTAGGACTTGAGGAAGACTCCTCCAACTCAGGAGGGCACAGCAAACAGGCAAGGATCACCTGACATCCTTTCTTCTCCTTTTTGTCTTCCAATAATCTAGTTTCAGGGTCCAGGAAAGACAGGGACCAACAAAGTGGCAGTTACCCGGGGTTCAAAGGGTTAATCTCCAAGAATTCATACTCTGACTTCAACCACAGCCCTTGTCCCCTCCACCCCAACCTGTCCTCTCCCTGAGCCCCAGGTTGGCACCTTCCCTGAATTCCTTCTTTGGTATAATTCACTAGGGCCCTGGGACCCAGGCCCAGAATCAGTCCCCTGCTCCCTCCCCAGGTCCCAGGAGCCTAGAGCATGCTCTCAGGGAAGAAAGAAAGCAGCCTTTCCCTTCTTTCTCTCCCAGCCTCCCAGGATGTGGGCCCTAGGACCAAAGAGCCTCTGTCTTTCTCTGCCACGCCCCCCATTGTAACCCAGACAAGGGGATTCCTTGTGTCCCAGCCTCAGGCAGGCATCCTTGTGACCAAATGGTGGAAGGTCTGGGGCAGGATGGGGGAAGGGGAATCACAGGATCTCAGAAGATACCCCCCCTTTCAGATACCTCCCCCTTTCAGGGATTCTGGTACACCTCAAGCTTCTCCTCCTTCTGGCTTGCATCAGCAGTGGGGAGAGAAGGCTGAGGGACTCATCTGCATATAAAAGGCCTGAGGCCCAAAGTGGAAACCGAGAAGGTGTGGAGACACAAAGGCTGAACCTCCTGGCAGACAGATTTGGAGCCAGAATACAAGAATGGGGGCAACCCAGGAACAGGGTAAGACAGGGGACCATGGCAGGGCAAGCCAAACAGACTCTTGAGAGCTGTAGGTCGAGGCCCCTGCCAGGTTCTGTCACTACAAGCACAGATATAGGAGTGCTGGCACTAGACAGGCATGTGGTCAGAGAGGAAGTGAGAACCCCTAGGATAAAATGAGAACTCCCTGTTTAAAAAATAAGAGACTTTCTGACAAGAAGTACAAACAACTGACAAGTGAGAAACTTCCCTGCCAGGAGGATGATATGTTCCACTCACAAGGAGTAATGGTAGGGAGAATAAAAATATAGTCTCACTTAGCAGCAGGGGCTCAGATGCCCTATGCTGACCTAGCACCGCTAAAAGACAGGAGAGGCTAATCCATCCTGGCAGGAAGTGACATCACTCACCAGACAGGAAGGGGTGGCTCTACCAGCACCAAAGGCTTCTGGAGGGTCAGTCCATGGAGGGTTGGCCCTGAATGTCCATGTCCCTCACAATCGTTCCTCTTGGCCAAGATGGAGGCCAAGGCTCCTAGATGTTGGGTGAGGTAATTACACCCCCATCTCTTCATCAATGATCTCCTAGGGTGCTAAGCCCTCAAATCCTTACCTAGTTGCAGGGAAAGGGGAAGAGATTCCATCACACCTGAGCCACAGGTCAAGCCACTAGAGTCAATGTATCTATGGAAATAGCTCTAGGGACCCAATAATTGAAGGATAAAGGCAGAGCCTCCCCGGGGACCAGAGGGATGGTGAGGCCAGGTTTCCATGGTCATTAATTTCAATGCAGCCTCTTCCTAAGCCTAGATGGAGGGAGAATAAATTCAAGGGAGACCAGGGCCTAGTGATGAAAGAGCCACTGGAGTACACGAGGGTGAAAGAGTCATTACAGGAAGGTCACATCATCCTGGCACTGGCCCCAGTACCAGTGGGCCTCAAAGCCCAGCTTGGCACTCTCATCCTCTGGTGGCTCAGGAGATCCACTGTGGAGCCCCTCCCCTGGGGGCTTCCACACAGCCCTCAAGCTCCCTAGCCTGGTGGCTGTCAGGTCCACCTCAGTCCTGGCCCTCTCCCCACCGGGTATAAACTTTGCCCAGTCCATCTCAGGACGGGGAGCCCCAGGGGGGCCCTGTTCATCCAGCTCACTGGGGGCCACCGTGTCCAGGAAGCTGCCAATGGAGACACTGTCCAGCCGGTCAGTGGAGCTGGTGTCTGGCAGGCTGTCCCAGCTGCCTCGCCTTGAGCGGCCTGGGCTCCCGCCTGTCAGGCTATATTGGCTGCTGGTGAGGCTGCTGCAGTGGCTGGTCAACGTCCCCCGCTCCTCCAACAGCCAGCGCACCGCCTCGATGCCCTCGTTCAAGGTCAGCAGCTGCTGCAGAATCTTCACGTCGATGGCTCGCAGGTAAGCCTGGGGGAACGGGAGAAGGAATCAATCCCAGGTTCTGGGCTCTGGGTTTCCCCAGTGTTTCCAGAGACCCTACCTTGTGATCTAACCAACTATGCTTCACTTTCAAGAAGCATGGAAGTAGAATGGTTTGGAGTAGGGCTTCAGAAGCAGATAGCTTACTATTTAAAATCTCAGCTTTACCACTGATATGACTGTGGACAACTTTCTTACCTTCTTTGAGCCTTGGTTTCCTTGTTTGTGAAATGGGGCTAAATCACTCACCTCACAGGGTGACTGTGAGAGTTTTGAGATGTTGGCTATTAAGTACCGAGCACGGTACCTGGCACAGAGAAAGGTCTCAGTAAGTGTTAAGTACTCAAATCCAATCATAGTGAGATTCAGACTTCACAGATAGGGTATTAACTATTGAATCAGTCCAGATTTACCAGTAAGACTTAGAAACAGTTATCCAAAGAGCAGTCTGATAGGAGGCCAGATGTTAGCTGGGAAGTAGACTGGGCCAAAAGGAGGCAGGGGCTGGGGGGTAAAGAGGGAGCTAACCTGGTCCCCTAGTCCCCTCAGGGTGTGGGTAGCAGCTGCTGTGGGGAGGAAGGGTTGGCTAGAGCTTCAAAGGGTCAGAATCCCACTGGCTGGGGATTCAGGGCTTCCCTCTATTCCAGTCTCCCTGTCTGTACTGGGAATTAAGTCTGACTTACTAGGTAATCTCTAGGGTTCCTTCCAGTTCAGGTGCACTGAGTTATCATCCCCAAACACAAGTCTGAAATTGTCCCTCCTTTGCTCAAGAACCTTTATGGGCTTTGCACTACTCTCAAAGAATAAAATCTAAGCCCTTCAGCAGCAGATATGCAAAAGCCTGTCACAATATGGCTCTTGCCCGTACCTCTAACTTCACCTCTAGCATATTCCATGGGAATCCCAGGTCCTGCCACACAAGACTTTAAAATTTCATTTCATTTAGTTTTACTTTTAATAAAAGTAATAGAGATACATAAGTTAAAGAAGCAAAACAGTTCTGCAAGATTTGGTGTGAAAAGTAACCATTCCCCCATCAAGTCCTAAATCCCACTTTCTGGAAACGACTACTATTAATTTTTTAGCTGTTTATTTTGGTACTTACCTTATAATTTCCAAATAACATGCAACTTATTGATTTTTAAGTTTTAGGTATTTTCTATTGACTCCCCCCACAATAGAAGGTTAAGGATTTCACTCTTCCATTCTACTCTCTAATCCTCTGCCACCATACTCATGCCCTTCCTATCTCCCCATGATCCTAACATATGCAGTAAAATTAATTATTCAGCATTTCCCTTATTAGGATTTGGAAATGCCATTCACAGCTAAGCCATGTAGTTTACTATGGTTACTTTTCCTTTCTTATAAATTTATGTTTTCCTTTTGAAATAATAATAATATTATTATTAATATTGTTTTAATTATTAGTAATTATTAATATTACTTATTATTATTACTACTACTGTTTTGCTTTGTTTGGTATATAGTTATCAGTAAGTCATCCCTAAACTCTTTCTCAGTTGTCTGAGTTCCCCTCGCAAGGTTTTTAAACACATCGTATGTTCCATCTAGTCCACCTTCTTAGAAGCAGCTCTTTAGGAGCCTTCTGATCTACTCCATTCTGTCCCCGCTGCACAACTGTCCTTCAGGGATCTCCCTTCACTATTATCTTGGGGATTCCCTTTGCCTCTCTGTGGAGTTGGATCCCATTTCCTGGATCCCACATCTTCTTTATTGATTTACTCCTACATTTGTATGTGTGGTGTTTTTCCTCTAGTAGTTCCCCAAGAAAGTCTGCATAGGAGGTATATTCGTTGAAGCTTCACATGTTTTAAAATGTTGCTATTCTCTCCTCACACTGTTGACTGTTTAGCTAAGTAGAGAAGTCTAGGTTGAAAATAATTTTTCCTCGGAATTTAAAGCATTGTTCCATTGTCTTCTAATTTTCAGCGTTACACTTAGAAAGTCTGATGCCATTCTGATTCCTGATTCTTTGTATGTGTCCATCTTCCCATGCTTTCTAGAAGTTTTTAGGATATTCTCTTGGTTCTCAGTATTCGAAATGATCACAGTAATTTGCCATGGTGTGATTCTATTTTGAATCAGTCACTTGTTGGGCCCTTTTAATCTGTAAACCATGTCCTTCAGTCCTGGGAGATTTTCTTGAATTGTTTCATTGATGATTATTTCTCCTCCAATATTTTGTTGTTGTTGTTCTTTCTTGAAATACTATTATCTGGATAGAGGACATCCTGGACTGATCCTCTATTTTTTTCTCTTCCATCTCTTTCTGTATTTATTCTAGTTTCTGAAATATTTCAACATTATCAACTCTTCTATTTTCACTTTTTCTTATCATGTTTTTTAATTTCCAAGAGTTGTTTCTAGTCCTCTGTTTTCTTCTATAGCTTCCGGTTTTTGTTCATTGCTACAATATTATCTCTTATCTCTTTAAGGATATAATTCATGACTTTGTAAGTTCTCATCTCCCTGTGTTATCTCCATTTCACTCAAGTTGCTTTTTTCTGTTTGTTTAGGTCTATATATTTAGAAGGTTTCATCAGAAATGATCTTTAGCTGCTGCTCACATTTAAAAGTGATCTCAAAAAGCTGACTGGAAACTCTCTGTGCCTGAGGCTTGCCAACTCAGAACCTCACTATGGGTTATCTGGCTAGACTGTTTGGGTAAGGCCTGAAGGCAATATCTTTTGTGGGTGTTTGGTTTTTTTTTCTTTTTCTTTTTCTCTTGGGTTCATCATCTTCACTATGTTAAACCCATCTAGAGAGTATAAGTAAAGCTGCCAATATTCTGGGGGCCGAGTAAGAAGAAAGGCTGAGAGGGGTATTTCATAACATATAGTACATTTTAATTTAATCCCTCTTGCTCTCAAACTCTGCTTGGTGTCTCCCAATCTGGAGACCTCGGATTCCACTATTTTAAATACATATATTACTTGATAAATGTTTATTGAATTATTCAGGAAATTATTGCTTTACTTATACCTACAATGATAAGCCAGAAATAAGACCAAGTAATTGTACACTGAGAAAAATACAGGCACTGGAATTAAACAGACCTGGATTCAAATTCTAGTTTTGCCATTAATGAGCCACAGGAAATTGGAAAATTTTTCTCTTCACACTGTCATTTCTTCATTGTAAAAATAGGATACTATCTAATTTATAGGTTTATTTTAAGAAATAGAGGGAACATATTAACATGCAGAGCATACTGTCTGACAAGTATTCATTACTCAATAAATGACAGCTGTTTGGCCTTACATATTACTATGGTTAACTTATTAATATGGCATAAGCACAGAAAACTTTGTATATGAAATTATTTGCATTTTTGGAAGAATATCACAACTTGAATTCAATTAAACAAATGATTATTGGGTACCTGGATTTTCAAATAATTACAAAGATAATGGAGAAACTCTCCCTGCTTAACAGAAGCTTACAGTTTCAATAAGGAGATGTGGGCATAAATAACTGAAGCACTACAGCCCGTACAAACCGGGCATGCGACAAAATGACACACGATAGAAGAGATTATCTACAATTATTTCATACGAGGGACAATATATTAACAGTGAAACTCTTTAGTCCATGACCAAACTAAATGTATTAAACAAAACTTCTAAAACTAAAAATGCTTCTCCTGCTATGTTTTCTCCTCCCTTTGGTACTTCTTTCCTCCCTTCCTACTTCCTTCCTTCCTTTTCTCTTTCCTTCCTTCCTTCCTACCCCTTCCTCCCTCCCTTCCTTCCTTCCTTCCCCTTCCTCCCTTCCTTCTGTCCTATTCTTTCCAAAACTTAGATCTCTAGTCTTCTGCTAGGATAAAGGAGTGCTGGACAGCTGGTTGCCCAGTTGGGGCGGGGATCTTAGAGTATGATTCTTAATCAGACATTCATCAACCCCTTTGAGTTTAGCTCCACTTGCACCCACAGTTCCAGAAATATCTGAGACCAACTCCTGAGAACTTTGAGGGTTTCTATGATGCAAAATGGATTACTTTTCAGCTGTCTTCATTACTGGCTTAGAATTCAGTTTTTTTTCAGGTATACCAAGTTAGTCACTACTCTTCCTTCTGCTTTCAGCTTCCAAAATCTTTTTCCTATTGTCTCCTCTCCTGTTCTTGTCATAATGGTTTCATGGTTTTAAAAATATTCTGCTGGCTCTTAGTGGAGTTTCAGGAGGGAATGGAGGTAAATGCATGTGTTCAATGTGCCATCTGGAACTGGAATTCCCACTGACTTGAATATTCAAGGCCCAACCCAAATGCTACTTCCTCTAAAAGTTTTCCCTGCGCTTCCTCAAGATGGAATTAATCCATTCAGGCATGGAACAATATTTATTGACTGTTTCTTATAGGTGTGGCATTGTGTAGCTAAAGGGAGGAAAAACACCATTTCTTGCCCTCAGAGAGTTCACAGTCTAGTGGGTAAGATAAGACAATGACGCAAGCACTTGAAATTCAGTGTACCAAATGCCAGGGAACACAAGTGCTGCATAGAGGGCTGTGGCTACCTACAGGGCCATAACCTAACCAGGGGAGTAAGGAAATGCTTCCTAGAATAAGGGACATGAGCTGAGACTTGAAGGTCAGGTAGGACTTAGACAGACAAAACAATAGAGAGTTATTCCAAGCAGAGGAAACAGCTTGTCTCCTCCAGTTCAGGTGTGCCTTTCCAGAGCACAAATCTGATCGTGTCACTCTAGAAGGAAGACTCCTCCAGGGATCCCTCCCTGTGTTCCAACAGTACCTGTCATCCTGTACTAGAGTGCTTAGTCTGTCTCCTTCTCTAATCCAGACTATAAGCTCCCTGAGAGCAGCAGATCCTGCCCAGTTCATTTATGGTGCCTAGCCGAGGACTGGGCAGGTCAGATTCAGTTCTGATTCTCTTGCCTTTACTATCCTTGGCCCCTCTGCTGGGCCCAGGGTTCAGGGAGCTGGGTTTTATCATATTGGTGGGAAATTAATCTGAGGACCAGATTCTACAGTCCTGTGACAGTGGGATTCCCTGACGGTGACAGCATAACTCCCCAGAATAGAAGAAAGCAAGGCTTTCTTGCCAGAAAAAGAAACACTCATTTCACACTATGTCTTTGGAAACGGAGCAGGGATAAACAGCTCAGAAGAGATGCAGCCTCATATGCTCTTCCTGGGGGGATTCAGCTTCCCCATTCCTCCCCTTAAAACATACACATCAGACTCTCTCCCCAGCCCTAAGGTCACAAGTATGGCTCACTCATAGCTCAGTCTAAATCAAGCCCTGGGATAAAAGCCCAGAGATCTGAGTCCTAGCTCCCTGGTCCTGGATTGAGATTCCAAGACTATTGTTTGTTTGTTTGTTTGTTTGTTTTCCAAGACTATTGTTACCAGGAAGGCTGTCAGAGATAATCTAGCTCCATAATCCGCACTATTGCCCCAATCCCCCAAGAGGTAGAAAAACTGAGGCCAAGAGAGTCAGGGCTCTGCTCAAGATCACAAAATAATTAGAGAGCAGAGCTAGGACTTGAACCCATGCCTTCTCTCTCTTTGCCTAAAGCTTTTTCTCAAACTGCTCTGTGGGGGCGGTTGTCATAGCAACAGTTCTTTGGGTAGGAGGATTAAGTAAGGGAGGTTGCCATTGTTTCCCCTTCCCACAGATCCCAGAGTCCCTAGGTTCACTCAACCCTTGAGTAGTGTAGGGAAGCAGCCTAGAGGCAGGGATGACCTTGGGCTCAAGGGCAGGCCTGGTCCCTCCCTGCAGGAAAGCTGGGAGAGGGACAGTTGAAGGCCAGTACTTCAAGGGCTTGAACTAGTTCTGCCACAAGTGGCTCCAGGGGAAACCTCAGCCCTTCCCCTAGTCCTCCCTGGGTGCAACCCAGTGGGTAGGGCAGAGTGTTTAAAGAGACCAAAGACATCTCTGCATGAGCAGGGAGAAAAGAGGGGAAGAGGGATCCTTGGGGCACATAGGAAGCCTCTCTGTGTGCTGGCTTCCAGAAGGCTCCCTCCTTCATGCTCTTCCTGGGTATCCTAGGGCCCCAGGCCAGGCTGAGTCAGGAATGCAGACCCAATCAGAAGTTAAATGTACCCCTTAAAATTTACAACAGGTAATTTCCACCAAGGCAGAAAAGAGCTAGAGCCAGAGAGGCTAAGCATGGCTCCTCCACTGCTCCCAGTGTGAGCTCAGGCAAAGCCCCTCAACACCTGCAGTATGTTTCCTTGTTGAGATGGGAAAATGATAACTGCTTTTCCCATTTCAATGACATAAAAAGTGGTTAATGTGTCTGGAACAAAGCAGATCTCAACTGTGAAGATGTAAAGTGTAGGCATATCACCTGGGTTCAAAGCCTGGCTCTGCTTTTTACTTTTTGTATGACTTTGGGCAGTTACTTAACCTATCTGTGCCTCAGTTTCTTCATCTATAAAATACCACCTACCTAATAAATTGCTGTGAGGACTAAGAGAATATTTTGTAAAATGCTCAGCATGATGCCTTGTACATGCACTTGGTGAAAGTTACTTTCCAAAGCAAGACATTCTAAGTAACCTCTTTCCAGGCCTTGAGCTAAAGTTTATACAGTGAGGCCAAGCCAGAGCCCTTCCTTAGGAGGGCATAGTTACAGCCCTTCTCTGGAGAATTTGGCAGGCACCCCTAACCTTCAAGGGCAAGTGCACACAGGGCATTCAAATCCTTCCCCCCAGGGAGCCTTCCCTGATTGCTGTGCCCTTAAAGCTCTCCTCCCAGCCTCTTAGGCTGTCAGGGAGCCCACATGATCTCCCCCCAACCCTCCCCCACCCCAACAACTAAGCCTGGCACAGAGCTGAGCACACACTGGGCCTTCAGGAAGACCTATAAGCTGACACACATACAGCGGCTCCTGGTTCTGGGCCAGAAAGTGACTAGCGATTCCTCAGTTCCCCAGAACTGGCTGCAAAGTGGTGGCAGGTGTAAACACCCCCTTCACCGGAACCAGGGCCCTGGGGAACCTGGGGGGCCCCAACTGCTCTTTTGGCTCTGAATCTAGACCAGCAGCAACAGGGAAGGGCTTGGGTGCCTGTTTCATGTTATTCTCCCCAAGGAAGTACAGATGAGATGCAAATATCCAGTGTACTTGGGGGGCTGGCAGGAAGGAGACTGAATCAGAAGTGATGGGATCAACACTGCTGGTGCTGCTGCCCTGTGTCTGCTAACGTTCTAGGAACTTTCAAATATTTTAAGTGGGTGTGGGGGGGGGATGTTGGGGAAAGAGGATGTTTTTAGTGGCCCTAGTCCAGGCAGTTTTAATCCAAATCTCTTCTGTGCTGACTCCTGTGGTGAACACTAGAGCCTCAGAACAAACCCTGGGCCCATTTTGCAGGAGGAGAAAAAACTGGTGGCCCTATAATGGTGGCTGGGGGGATAGGTAGCCCCAAAGTGAGAGGGCAGGAGAAAGATTTGTACTGTGCTAAATTCTCAGTGCTTCCTAGTCCTCACCTCTCCCCTCCCAATTATTTGACAGAAAAAAAAAACTTAGAAAAACCTGTGCCTCCCACCCCGAGTCTTCAGGACCCATCAGTACCCCATTCACCCTTGGTGGGGGATGCAATTAATGGACCCCAGGGTTTAAAGAAAGACCTTTAGGGATCCTGAGTTTAGGCGGGGAGTTTTAACTCTCTCCTCTCCAGCCCAACTCTGGGGGGGCGGGAGTCCATCCCTTCCGGCCTTACGCTGGGGACTCCGTCCCCCTAGTCCATGGAACCCACACTCACCAGTTCCATCCTCAGCGCCATGATCTTGTCCCCCAGGCCGTGGCCCGTGGTAGGTGCCCCTGGGAGCAGCAGAGCGCCAGAGGCTCCCGGCTCCCACTCGCCTCGCAGCCCGCGGAGCAGCCCTTCAGGGGTCTTCCTGCCCACCTTGCCTTCCACGTCTCGCAGGTCAGGCGTCTGGGACTCCGCAGTCCCCTCCATGCGGGCCTAAGCCTGAACACGATTGGGCGACCGGGCGCCGGGATCCTGCTCCCGGGGGTCCTCCTTTCTCCACTGCTGGTGTCGAGCGGAACCGGTGGGTCCCCGCCCGCGCTGTGCGGGGGCGGGAGGAAGGCGCCGTAACACTCAGAAAAGCCGCGCAGAGCTGCGTGGTGTGTGTGGTGTGTGTGTGATGCGGTGTGGTGTGTGTGTGTGTGTGTCGTATTCGAGTGCTGCGCACACACCTCTCACTCCGGAATATGTGAGGCTGGGCGATCCTGGCTATGCACCTGAAGGAACTTACGGACAGCTCAGCGCCTTCTCCCAACACTGGAACTGAGTCCAGCCGGGCACTCAGCAGGCGCCCAATGAATATTTGCTGAATGCAGGTTAAGCATCGTCAGCAAGGGATGTAGGATTTTAAGGAGAAGAGCTGCAGAGGGTTTTGGAAGGCTTCCTGGAGTAGAGGAGCTGGGTCTAAAACAGTGGTTGGAATTTAGCTAGCCACTGATACACACGTGCACACACACCCAGTGTACCACAAAATTTAGACTGAAGAGTGAAAAGTCAAGATCTTCTGGCCAATGAGGAGCAACCAATATTGAAGCTGAAGAGATCCACATGGGCTAGATCATGCTTGATCTTGTAAACTGATGCTTCTTAAATTCGACTGTGCATATATGAATTATCTGTGAATCTTGTTAAAATGCAGATTATAATTCTATAAATTTGGGGTGGGGCCTAAGATTATGCATTTCTAACAAGCTCTCTGCAGCTGGCCCAGGGACCACATTTTGAGTAACGAGGTTATAAAAGATAGTTCTATGGCTCTTGGATTTTATTCTACAGGCAATGAGGAACCATAAAAAGCTTTTTATACTTTGGCTTGATTTTTGATTTTTAATCCAAGTAATTTCGGCCCACAGTTATAGAAGAATTTATAATGAAAAGATAGTTACTCCTTCCCTGTTCATTCCTTCCTCTAGTTTCACTCCTCGAAGATAACCACTTTAGCTATTTTTTCCTGGTGTTTATACTCATAACTCCACAACAGGCTTATACCATGTCTTATGTCTTAATTTTAAACATTTTCTACTGACTTCCGATTATGATAAATATGGATGTACCTCACTTACACTCTGTATTTCCCTTCTTCCATTGGCCGTATACATGTCTCTCATTATTTTTAGCTCCTCACCTTTGTAATTTTAAGTAATATATTTTTCCTTAATTTGTCTTGATCCATGGAAGGCTTTTAAATTAGAGACTGACAAAATAGATTTGCCTTTTTGAAAAGTAACTCTGGATTATGCAAGGAGAAAGGATTAAAGGGGTAAAAATCTGGAGACAAGGAGACCAGCTAGAACACAAGAAACTAAAATGGACTGGACAGGGCTAGTTGTGAGATTGGGGAAGAATTAGACCAGAATGGAGGACTTCTTAGGAGAGAAGATTGACAAGACTTGGTGACTAGTAACATTCAATTATTTCTAGTGGCATTCAATAAATATTTGTTCTGAAAATGAATGATTTAAAAAAATATTATGGAGAGCCTCCCATGTGCTAGCCATTGTATATGGTACAAAGAATACAGTGGTGAACACACAGACCTGGACTGGTTGCTGGAAAGGGATAAGGAATCAAGGGTGACTCCCAGCTGTTTGACCTGATGCTTTTCACCAAGGAAGGGAACCCAAAAAGAGGCCTGGGAGTAGAAAGAGACAATTCTAGCAGGAGTCATGTTGAGTTGGAGGGACCTATGAAGATGTCTGCCTGGCAGTTGGACACAGGTCAGCCTGGAGCTCATGAGGAAAGTAAAGCCTGCAGGTGAGAGTTTAGGAATCTAGACGGTCAGAGAGATCATAAGAGTGAATATGATCTTCCATGGAAAGTGAGTTTTGAGGAGAGAAGTTCAGGGAGGAGCCCTCAGGGACATCTTTTTAAAGTATGAATAAAATGTGTTGGGTTTTCTTCTGTTCTAATACATGCTTATTAGGAAAAATCACTGATTGCCTCAACTACTAAGAAAAGCTTTGTTAACATTTTGGGAGATACCATTCCACCATTTTAGGGAGCAGATGGAATGTAGAGCTCAAAAAAATCTAACCTATCTTCTGGCTTTCTCTGTCTCCTTTTAATCCAGTATCCACAAAACAGTTAATGTTCTCTTAAATTGGATTATGTTGCTTCCCTTCCTAAAACTGTGCCATGGCTACTCACTCACTTCAAATAAGCATCACCATCACCTAGAAACTTTTTAGAAATGCAGTATTCTGTTCTGTCCCAGACTCCGGAATCAAACTTTAAGAATGGGGCCCAGCAATCTGTTTTAACGAGCCTCCAAGTGATTCTGATGCAAGCTTAAGTTTGAGAACCACTGTGTGCTCTGCATGTATTAAACTCTGCACGTGTTATTACTGTTAGTATAGTGAGGGATTAAGAGTGGAATCTGGAGCCAGGCTGCCTGGGTTTAAATTCTAGCTCTCCCAGCTTTGTGATACTGAGCCTCATTTTCTTTGTAATATTGGGGTAGTAATTGTACCTCCCTCACAGGGGTTGTGAGTTAATACAGCAAGGTGCTTGCTTACAACAGTGACTGGTATAGGGTAAGCGTCATGTAAGGGCATCCTCATTTTACAGAGAAGGGAACCTAGGCTGAGATGTGAAGTGACTTGCCCACTCTGGGAGAGTGGCAGAACCAGCTTTTTAATTCCCCCTAGTCTTCAATGGTCCTGCAAGCCCTAGACCTGGGCGCAACCTGGCCCACGCAAAAGGGGGGGGGGGAGCTGCCTCCGAGGCTTGCAGCCCCTCTGACCCTGGCGCGCCCGTGCGGTCTAGTTCAAGTCTCTAGGACTCCGACCCGAATTCGGTTTGGCATCCTGCGGTACTGGGGGCCGGGGAGCTGCTCTCCCCGAGAAGCCCACCCGGCCAGCCCGCTGCAAAGCGG